ATTATTTGGGAGACATAGTCAGCGTATGTGATGTATTCTCCATGTTGGGGTTGGGGTAGGTCGGCTGTATATATGTTGAATAGAGTGGGGGAGAGGCAGCTTCCTTGTGGTACTCCACTTTTCAGTTCTATTACGTCACCCAGGTAGCTGCCGATATTAAGCCTAGCAGTTCTGTTGTCTATAAAGCTGCAGAGAGTAGCAGTAAATCTCTCAGGAAGTCCTAGTTCAGATATCTTATGTTTTAGGCCTGTGTGCCACACTTTGTCGAAGGCTTTCGAAACGTCTCTAAACACTATATTACATTGATATTTTTTTCGACACTGCGTTGGCTATATGCTCGTAGATCAGGGCTATAGCTGTATGGGCCCCTCTGCGGTTTCTAAACCCATTCTGCCTGGTGTTATACTTCCCTTCCTCCTCCATGTACTTCACAAGTCTCTGATTGATAATTTTTTCGAATATTTTACCTGGTACTTCGAGGAGGGAAATTGGCCTATAGTTTTCAGTTTGGGTTGGGGATTTACCTGGTTAGGGGATTAATCTTATTGTGGCATTCTTGAAGTATGTGGGGAATAGATCAGATGCAAGAGCTGCATTTATTATACATGTGTATTGATGGAGTGCAATCACTGGTAGGTTGGATAATACCATCTTATTTATCTTGCTGTTGCCCGCCCCAAGTCTCCTCAAACCGCCCAAGCTTCTATCGTCATATTCAAATTATCTAAACTTTTCCACATCAAACACGTTTAAAAAGTGGTTCCAATTTCTCACCTTTGTCATATATTTTAAATAATCGAATTGATAGGCTTTTCCTAGTAGTTAGAAAGTGATCCAACGCTGCACTGAACCAAAGAGTAGCCTATGTATATAAATTTTTAAAATAACAGTAATGTTTTAATATATTTTCCTAAACGGATTAAGTGAAATATTAAGAAATACATAATTAACATCATGTAACTAATTTCACTCATGGTGAATAAGTCAATTCGTGTTTTAATGTCACTGAGAATATTAAATGCTTTAAATTAAAGTTTCAGCTTCTTGAAGGCAGTATATGCAGCCCTTCCTTCTCTTTCGTTAGTACTTTTATTAACGATGAAGATCATAGTACATATATGACCTGATGTACAATTACAAAGCAGAAATCGTTACTATTGTATTTGGACAAACCGGAAAAGATTTTGTATGTATATGTTGCAAAGACATATATATATATTGTACATATATGTTGCCAAGTTCTTTCTACCGGAAGTCCTTTGTCTGAATAACTGGTTACCGTTTCCAAAAATGTGAGCAGGCATGAGGCATGTGGATGCTGAAGTTGAGTCTCTTGTCTATGTATAGGTCAAGGAACTTTCCATTATTTATAATGCTCATGTTAACATTGTCTATCTGAAGGTGAATTTAGTTTCATTATTTACTTTATATAAAATATTGTAGGTCTTTTCTATTTTTAGTGTGACTTTTGTTGGCTGACATCTATAAGTAGACTTTATTAATTCATTATTTAGTATGTACGGGTTAGGGTCACAATATATGAAGGTAGTATCGTCAGCAAATAGGCTTAGGGAACCATCAGTAGACAACGAGTAATGGGAAATCGGGCGGAAAGTATTCTCTTGATTAGGCTTGGGAATTGGAATAATTATAGTTAGTCCAAGAGATAAGAAGTTCCCCAATTCCCCTCAGGGGAAACACAGCGACTGCAGATAGAGTTTAAGATAGGGATACATTTGCCTAGGAGATGGATGTAAAAGCTATAGATAGGCAAAGATGAAAAACAATCTCATTATAAAAACCTAGCAAAGGAAGAGGACAAGAACGCTGATGAAATCACTGAGACAATGATACAAACACTAATAAACAAGGAGGAGGATCTATGTATATACAATGTTGGGAGGTTAGGTAGACCTGAAGCAAACCTTATACGCATAACCATTGACAATTTTGAACAGAGAAGGAGGATATGTACATTAATTGACAGTGACTTTATCATCCTTAATTACGCTCAACTCTTTAAGACATAATTATAACTTGCTCGTGTCTGAAGCTAGATACAAATACAACAAAACTATTAATGATGGTAACAGAGTCCATTTCATGGGGATTCTATCTTATGTTGACCTCCGGATGTATGATAGAGCTGATGAGTTAGCCAAAGAATCTGCCTTTAAAGGAGAAATTGAGTATAACCTTCGATTGTCAATAAGAAGTCTGAGAGCAATAGTACACCAAGAATTTCAACAAAACCTTGTCGATCTGAGGCAAAGTGTAATCGACAGCAGTAATTCCATCTATCATCATACTATCATGCAAGAGGAGCCACATATCTATGGATCATCCAATAAAATCAGTAGACTTCTAGATGTTACTACTGCTCGGCTTAGACTCGGTTACAAGTATCTCTGGGAATTATCATTATCTGCTGATGTAGACCTGACCAAATGTAAACTGTGTCAACAAAATTATTCGCACACCCTCCGTCACTATGTGATGGAGTGCGAAAAGATACGTGAATTTAGAGACAATTCTACAACAAATGTTCAAGCGTAACATCAAGAGTAGATATTTCATTCAAAATGATCTGCTGCCAAAATTTTTAGCCAAATATCCCCAGTTTGCTAACTGTAGGTAGTAACTAAGAGTGATTGTAACCTATCCACCGCTGCCCACTGGATGGGGGGCGGTGTGCAGGACAAACATATCAATTGTGACACTAGCTCTCCACATATGTCAGGTGCTTAATTTAGAAACTGTACTTGTGGTCGATCTCGAGCCCATTGTTGATGTGACGATGTGCATTGAATTTTGTAACTAGCCCATCAAAACTGTAACTTGCTTAGCTAAATGAATTGTGGGGTTCAGTCCCTGAGCCCATTATGTGCCTCTGTAACCCTTTCCACTGCCGCCCACAAGATGGGTATGGGGTGCATAATAAATGAACTAAACTAACTGTAGGTCCGCGTTTAAACCTCGACTGTCGAAGTGGTTGAGCACCATTCCTTCCTCTAGTCCCATCCCAAATCCGTATCCTAGTCCCTTCCAAGAGCAATACAGTCGTAACGGCTTGGCGCTCTCACCTGATAGTTTCCTTCCTATCCTAGAAGGTTCGGTGACGTCACACTTGGCGGGAAAATGTCCTTGGCGGGAAAATATCCTTGCTCCTTGAAGACCTTCTCACCACATAATAATCACTTCCTTAGAGTTACAAAACACATTCACATTTATCTTTCTTATGTTACATATAATTATATATACCAGCATGAACGAATATACAGCAAATCAATAGCTATCGAACTTTCATACAAGAGGCGTTCAGACTAGGCTACCTCGAATAGTAACACCACTTACTATAGTGGCACGTGAGGATTCTCTGACCATGTACTGCAATGAAACGTGATGATTCTCTAACCATGTACTACAGTGGCACGTGATGATTCTCTGACCATGTACTACAGTGGCACGTGAGGATTCTCTGACCATGTACTGCAATGAAACGTGATGATTCTCTAACCATGTACTACAGTGGCACGTGATGATTCTCTGACCATGTACTACAGTGGCACGTGATGATTCTCTGACCATGTACTACAGTGGCACGTGAGGATTCTCTGACCATGTACTACAGTGGCACGTGATGATTCTCTGGCCATACATCACAGTGACTGACAAGTGATGATTCTCTGACCATACACCACAGTGACTGACAAGTGATGATTCTCTGACCATACACTACAGTGACACGTGATGATTCTTTGACCATACACTACAGTGACACATGATGATTCTCTGACCATACACCAGTGACGAGTGATGATTCTCTAACCATACACCAGTGACAAGTGATGAGTCTGACCATGTACTACAGTGATACGTGATGATTCTCTGACCATACACCAGTGACAAGTGATGATTCTTTGTCCATACACCAGTGACGAGTGATGATTCTCTGACCATACACCAGTGACAAGTGATGATTCTCTGACCATACACTACAGTGACACATGATGATTCTCTGACCATACACTAGTGACGAGTAATGATTCTCTGACCATGCACCAGTGACAAATGACGAGTCTGACCATGTACTACAGTGACAAATGATGATTCTCTGAGCATACACTACGGTGACACGTGATGATTTTATGATCATGCACCACAGTGACACGTGATGATTCTCACTGGAGGATCCTTCTCAAACAGGGCGCCTAAACCCAGCCTCCTGTTTAGATAGTAACTTTTTGAAACTATGTGAACCATAGGACAAATATGGACTAAAAGGCAATTCAATTGTAGAATTTGGTACTATTCTCTTGATAAGAATCCGAAAAAATATATAGCTAGTAAATCAACAAAAATATTCATAGGCTTAGTATAACACATATATGTATTATATTAGGCCTCAGATAGCGTAAAATTAGGCCTAGAAAGGGAAGGTTAGGTTGTCTTTGAAACATATATATAGAAAATCTTTTCCGGTTTCTCCAAATACAATAGTAACGATTTCTGCTTTGCAATTGTACATCAGGTCATATATATACTATGATCTTCATCGTTACTAAAAGTACTAACGAAAGAGAAGGAAGGGCTGCATATACTGCCTTCAAGAAGCTGAAACTTTAAGATAAAGCATTAATATGCACTATGACATTAAAACACAAATTGACTTATTTACGATGAGAGAAATTTGTTACATGATGTTAATTATATATTTCTTAATATTTCATTTAATCCGTTTAGGAAAATATATAAAAACATTACTTTTATTTTAAAATATATATACATAGGCTACTCTTTGGTTCAGTGCAGCGTTGGATCACTTTCTAACTACTAAGAAAAATCTATGAATTCGATTATTTAAATTATATGATTACGATTAGAAACTGGAACAGTTTTTTAAACTTGTTTGATGTGGAAAAGTTTAGATAATTTGAATATGACGATAGAAGCTTGAACGGTTTGAGGAGACTTGGGGCGCCATGAGGGCCCGGGCGTCAGGTGGCGCCAGTCGCTGGTCAACCTCCGAGGACGACGGCCGCCGCTGCTGCCATTCTCTCACTTGTACCTTCACATTAAGTTCTATTGAGTCCTCGTATTATTACAAGTGACAATGGCGTCCAGCACCAGCCCAAGCATAAGCCAGCGCCAAAAGTTCTTGAATGAGGTGAGACAATATTCCTGAGCGATGTAATATGTATTTAGCATTGTATGTATTACATGTATGTATGTATACGTGTATGTATTATAGAAGAAACTGAGCGAGGGGCTAGAAATATAACTTGTAATAACTTTATATTATATGAGTCTGGCTCCGGGGAGCTGTTGTGACCTTCCAGGACGGGTTGGTTATGTTCTTGACCCCACTGACCCCACACCCGGCTGGACCCCACACTGCTGGACCCCACACCCGGCTGGACCCCACACCCTGCTGGACCCCACACCCTGCTGGACCCCACACCCGGCTGGACCCCACACCCTACTGGACCCCACACCCGGCTGGACCCCACACCCTGCTGGACCCCACACCCTGCTGGGCCCCACACCCTGCTGGACCCCACACCCGGCTGGACCCCACACCCGGCTGGACCCCACACCCTGCTGGACTCCACACCCGGCTGGACCCCACACCCAGCTGGACCCCACACCCTGCTGGACTCCACACCTGGCTGAACCCCACACCCGGCTGGACCCCACACCCGGCTGGACCCCCACACCCGGCTGGACCCAGACCCAGCTTGACCCCAGGCAACACTTGCTCCAGTGGTACCCGGCTTGACCCCACGACTTCCTCCAGTTGTATCCGACCCGACTCCAGGTAACGCTGGCTCTAGTGGTACCCGGCTTGAACCCAGGCGACACGTGCTCTAGTGGTACCCGGCTTGACCCCAGGAAACAGTTGCTTCAATGGTATCCGGCTTGACACTAAGCAAGAGTTACTCCATTGGTACCCCGCTTGACCCTAACAGCTGTTGCTCCAGTGGTACCCTGATTGACGCCTTACACTGTTGCTCCAGTGGTACTCTGCTTTACCCCCAAAACTGTTGTTCCAAGGGTACCAGGCTTGACCCCAGGCAACACTTGCTCCAGTGGTGCCCGGCTTGACCCCAGGCAACACTTGCTCCAGTGGTACCCGGCTTGACCCCAGACAACAATTACTCCAGTGGTTCCCGGCTTGACCCCAACAACTGTTGCTCCAGTGGTGCACTGCATGACCCCAGGAACAATTGTTCCAGTTGTACCCGACTTGATACTAGGCAATAGTTGCTCCAGTGTCACCAGTGGTACACGGCTTGACCGCAGCAAGTTGTTCTAGTGGTACCCAGTTTTACCCCATTAATAGTTGTTCCAGTGGTGCACGGCTTGACAGCAGCAATTATTGCTCCAGTACCACCAGTGGTACCTAACTTGACCCCAGCAACAGTAGCTAGAGACACCAGTGGTACCCAACTTGACCCCGGCAACAGTTGCTCCAGTGCCACCAGTGGTACCCAACTTGACCCCGGCAACAGTTGCTCCAGTGCCACCAGTGGTACCCAACTTGACCCCGGCAACAGTTGCTCCAGTGCCACCAGTGGTACCCAACTTGACCCCGGCAACAGTTGCTCCAGTGCCACCAGTGGTACCCAACTTGACCTCAGCAACAGTTGCTCCAGTGCCACCAGTGGTACCCAACTTGACCCCAGCAACAGTTGCTCCAGTACCACCAGTGGTACCTAACTTGACCCCAGCAACAGTAGCTAGAGACACCAGTGGTACCCAACTTGACCTCAGCAACAGTAGCTGGAGACACCAGTGGTACCCAACTTGACCCCAGCAACTATAGCTGGAGACACCAGTGGTACCCAACTTGACCCCAGCAACAGTAGCTGGAGACACCAGTGGTACCCAACTTGACCTCAGCAACAGTAGCTGGAGACACCAGTGGTACCCAACATGACCCCAGCAACAGTAGCTGGAGACACCAGTGGTACCCAACTTGACCCCAGCAACAGTAGCTGGAGACACCAGTGGTACCCAACTTGACCCCAGCAACAGTAGCTGGAGACACCAGTGGTACCCAACTTGACCTCAGCAACAGTAGCTGGAGACACCAGTGGTACCCAACTTGACCCCAGCAACAGTAGCTGGAGACACCAGTGGTACCCAACTTGACCCCAGCAACAGTAGCTAGAGACACCAGTGGTACCCAACTTGACCTCAGCAACAGTAGCTGGAGACACCAGTGGTACCCAACTTGACCCCAGCAACAGTAGCTGGAGACACCAGTGGTACCCAACTTGACCCCAGCAACAGTAGCTGGAGACACCAGTGGTACCCAACTTGACCCCAGCAACAGTAGCTAGAGACACCAGTGGTACCCAACTTGACCCCAGCAACAGTAGCTGGAGACACCAGTGGTACCCAACTTGACCCCAGCAACAGTAGCTGGAGACACCAGTGGTACCCAACTTGACCCCAGCAACAGTAGCTAGAGACACCAGTGGTACCCAACTTGACCCCAGCAACAGTAGCTGGAGACACCAGTGGTACCCAACTTGACCCCAGCAACAGTAGCTAGAGACACCAGTGGTACCCAACTTGACCCCAGCAACAGTAGCTAGAGACACCAGTGGTTCCCAACTTGACCCCAGCAACAGTAGCTGGAGACACCAGTGGTACCCAACTTGACCCCAGCAACAGTAGCTAGAGACACCAGTGGTTCCCAACTTGACCCCAGCAACAGTAGCTGGAGACACCAGTGGTACCCAACTTGACCCCAGCAACAGTAGCTGGAGACACCAGTGGTACCCAACTTGACCCCAGCAACACCTGCACCACTGCTACTAGTGATACACTGCCTGACCCCAGGAAGGTTGTCTGTATCAGGCGATGATTTGTGTTCTGTTATTCACTGCAACAAATTAAGATGCAAATTAAATACTAAAGATTTGAAACATGACATCAGTTTTTTATAGTGTAAGAACTAAAAAAAAAAAATGTCACTTAACGGAAATATGAACACTTATACCTAATACATTTATTTAATTATATAAATAACTGGGATAAGTAAGTTGTGGATTAGATGAGAGGAACATATCAACTCTTGATTTTCAATACGGAAGGAGAAATGGGTTAGCTTGTAATTCCATCATCCATCCGACCATTGACAGCTCCACTAGTAATTGATTACGTACATTTAATACTTTGGTTGAAAGGGAATATTTAGCATTGACTGAAAATGCATTTCAGAAATTAATTTAATTATTTTTAGCATTATTTTGGTATATTGTTTCAAACATCAGTTTGTTTAGACAGGGTAAAGTTCTTTATATAATTATTTGTTGTTAAAATCCAAAAAGGTTTAAATGGACAATCCTCATCATATTATACATAGTACCTGTTAGCCATGGCATCGCAATATATAAGACTTTATATTTTGAAATAAATTGAGAATAAGATCTTAAAACCTGTGCTTTATGGATATCTTTTGTTCGACAGGTTCTTGCCATTGAATTGGCTTATAACGACTTAAAGAAGCATAATGTGGATTTAACTACCATGAAAGGACTGACACAGAGTTTTGAAGTAATTTGTTCAGCATTGGACAAGTTAAAAGGTTTGAGATTTTTTATTTAATGTTAATTTATTACTATTGATGTGAGGCTTAGATAATCTCAAGCTCATCATCACCCAGCAAAATTCAGCTATCAGAACTATAACAAACTCTGTCTTCACAGAACACAGCCCCTCTATTTAAATCCTTAAACATACTGAATATACACTCACTTCACACATTCTCTTGTGCTATTTATATGTAGGAAACCTTGTTCCTAAATGCTAATCCTGATCTGAATCTTTCTTGATAGATGTAACAGAACCTATGAGCACCACAACAGAAATGAATATGTCTTTAATATTCCTAGTGTCAGACTGAATCTATGCAAACACTGCATGCATATAATAGGACGCAGTTTATGGAGCTCACTCCCTAATGAATTAAAAAAAAATTCCAACCTATGCTTTATCCAAAAGTAAAACCAAAAAGTACCTAATTTCATCTTCATAGTTTCCTACCTTGTGCTCTCAACTCACACTGTATCTTGTGCTACCACTGTAACTCCTAACTCACACTGTAACTTAGTGAAAGAGAAAATATGCACTCACTTGAACATTATATTGTAGAATGTCCCATATTGACTGACTTTCGCCCTCCTGGACTGAGGTATGCTGAACTCTGTAACTACTATATGAGTACTGGAACACTTGATGATATATTGGACTTGTACCCTAGATTGACCATGTAATGTATCAATTATACTATGTATGTATGTGATGTAACTATATAACCTGAGCTTATAAAAGCACCTTAATCTCCTTCAGTGGTTAAGTTCTCAAATGCATACTAGTTTCTCTATCAGCTCTCTCACCCTGTCAGAGTAAAAGAGACAAATGTATGTGTGTGTATAATGTATATATATGTATGTATGTATATGTATGTGTATAAAGTATATGTGGAAGCTGATCAGAATTACATTTCACCTTTGTAAATGCACATTGATGTCACTGTAAAAGACACATCGAACACTTTATGTAGCATACATAAATATGTGTATCTATGTATTTACGTATGTAGCTTAGCCTAGCATTTTAAAAGCACTACAATCACTTTTTGTGGTTGATTGTTCAATAAATCCCTGAACTATATTTTTCACAAATCTCTCACCCTGTCCATGGAGGATAAGAAAATGTATATATGCTGGTTAGCATTGTAAATGTGTGGCCACGTCTCTGGTAGAAAATAATAATAAAAAAAACTCCCCCAATATTGGTACTTAAGACTTGCAACTTCACCAGTATAATCATTGCTATTAATTTTTTTTTGGTTATTATGATTGAGTTTAAATTCTGCTAGAATGTAACTATTAATACATTCATTAGAATAAAATACCTGCTCGAAACGCTATGCGTGTTAGTGGCTTTACAAGAATGTAATGGTTAAACACCAATGTTAAGTACTAACACAACCCAACAGTTTTAGTGACGTTGGGAACACTATGGTGAACGGGCTGAACATCCACCAGGCTTCAGATGGGCGAGGCTAGCCACAAGCGTCAGGCCTTCAGTCTTGGCAGACAAACGCATTCTATTTTATAGATTCTGAATAGATATTGGTTGCATTTTAGATTTGCCAGTACAAATTAACTTTGTTCCTTAAACACAACATATATATAGTAGTAATATTTCACGTTATTTGAATGTTTAGACAGAACAAAACATAATGTTCGTACGTAGTTGAATATATAATCTTAGTTTAGCATTCTGCACATTTTGTAGAAATCTATATAGTTCGAACATCTTATTTTTTTACAGTTTAGTTTGAGTTGGTTAATGGAATTGATAAAACATAAAACATATTGATATTGTTTACCATTACTGTACTTCAATATTTACAGCAGAACACACAAGAACAACCGGCTCTGAGACTGGTGGGGACCAAGAATTGCCTTCCAGTGCAGACAAGCCAAGTGTGGATATCAGCACGTAAGTATAACTTTGATGATTATTAATTAACCTTCTGCGGTTGTATTTGTAAGACCTGAGAGGCTTATTGGCGACACAACCAGTCGTTAAGTATATGATATTGGTCACATTTTGGGAAGAAATAAATATACAAATACAAATATTTATTCAGGTAAAGTACTTACATGCAAGGTGAGATACAAAACATTGATGGATTTATAGATAGGGCTAGTACATACAATGCCTAAAGTATATATATATACTCATTGCTTGCTCTTTTCCATGTTTTATGTTAATGATTCCCATTGACTGTGGTAATCTTCTACATTATCGGGAATTAATACATTAATAACGGTCAAATATAACACGCGTTACACATAGTGTTTATAGATATTCTAATACCAAGTCCATACTATATATCAAGTCAAAACCTGATATATATTGCGATAGGCCATGTTAAGTTAGGTTAATGTTCTAATATTGTAATTAAATATATACATAAGCTATGTTAAATTAATTTTCAAATATTGTAGTTAAATAGATAGATGATGTATGTAGATTAGCTTACATAAGGTTAGGTTGAGTTAGATTAGGTTAACTATGATTGTGTTATGCTAGGGTTAAAATCATAGTAGTTGTCGTCTTAACTCTACTGGAGCTAACTTAGTAACAGTAGTAGTCTTAATGTGAATGAAGAGAGGGTCGATGATACTGGTCAAAATATTAAAACGTGATTAAAAAAAAAATTGGCATTGGAATAATTTTAAGTTTTATAATTTCTAAATTTGTTTAGGCGGCACTTTAGTTGCATGGATGTTTATATGCAACATAATTGTTGCTTATAAAACAGGACGGACCGAAACGTCGTCGTTTCTCCATCCGATATCTAGTTTGGTCATCATGAATTGATATTACAATAAGGTGAAATACATATACATGTTTAACATGACTATAATAAATACATGTTTAACATGATTATAATAAACTGTCATTAACACAAACATTTCGTATCATTGCAGTAAAATGGAGGACGATGAAATGAACCTACAAATGAAAGGGGTAAGTATATAATATATATATATATATATATATATATATATATATATATATATATATATATATATATATATATATATATATATATATATATATATATATATATATATATATATATATATATATATATATATATATATATATATATATATATATATATATATATATATATATGTCGTACCTAGTAGCCAGAACGCACTTCTCAGCCTACTATGCAAGGCCCGATTTGCCTAATAAGCCAAGTTTTCATGAATATTATGTAAATACTTGCTTGCATTCAATTCCTTTATTAAACTATATTTGTTGACAATTTAGTATATGTTACATCTTGTCAAAACCATCATGAACCCACCTGTCCTCTTAAAAATAACGTCGCTTTTAGCCGTTTACCAGTATGACCGAAAGTGGACGTAATTTGAAAATTAAAAAAATATATGAAAATATATTTGGGATTTTTTTTTTCAACAACAGTAAGTTAAGGGTCCTCTGATAGGTTAGGTGGGCAGGAAATTCTCATAAAGTGAACATCATTATTGTATGTGCCTCCCAACCCACCCCCATCCACAACTTAAAGACAGGTTCGACAAAGATTTTAAACATGAGAATAGTTAAGCTATAAGATAACGGATACAACAAGGCTAGTACAGTACGTGGAGCCTTAAGAGCTAGACCTCACGTCCCAGTAGTCACAGGTAGGTGAGCACAAACGAGCGGGGGGGGGGGGCATCAACCCCGAGATAGAAGAGGGGCAATATAGTGTAAGAATATATTTAAATATTAAAACTGTGCTTTCGTCCAATGTTTTAAGATTCAGCTACTGGGAACCAAAAGTTGCAAGTAGCACGGGCTATGGTGAACTCGTAGTGGAATTACCTGGGACAAGAGCGGGGGTGTAATTGTCCGATCAATCATTATAACCACATATATTTATTTATTTATTTATTTGTTAATTTGTTTATTTATTTACACAAGAAGGTACATTGGGTTGTGAGAGTACATAGCATTGGTGTTCTTACATTCTTGCAAAGCCATTAATGAGCATAACATTTCTGGCAAGTCCATTTCTGGCAGATAAAGTAAGAATATATAAAAGTACGTTGTAGCCAAATTTAAATTTAACATTATAACTAAGATATAAATTGATGGTGTTGATTATACTGATGAAGGTGCACGTCTTAGGTGTTGAAATTGGGGAAGTGGGTACCACAAGATACATGGTGAGTATAAAGCTCAAATTTGGAAACTGAGGATGAAATTAGGTACTCTTTGGTTTTACTTTTGAATAAAGCATAGTTTTGAGAATTTTTTATTTATTTATTTATAAATATATTTATACAAGAAAGCACATTAGGTTTGTAAGAGTTCATAACATTGGTGTTCTTTCAATTTTGCAAAGCTACTAACACCCCTAGCGTTTCGGGCAGGTCCTTAAACTAATAAAGTTTATTAAAATGTACATTGCAGCAAAATTTGAGTTTAACATAGTAAATATAATATACATTGATGGGGATTATTACACTGGTGAAGTTGCATGTCAAAGGTACTAATATTAGGGAAGTGGGTAGCACAAGATACAGTCTGAGTTTGAAGCACAAGGTAGGAAACTATGAGGATGAAATTAAGTACTTTTTGGTTTTGCTTTTGAATAAGGCAGAGGTTGGACAATTTTTTTAATTCATTAGGGAGTGAGTTCTGTAGACTGCGTCCTTTTATTTACATGGAGTGTTTGCACAGATATTATATGATTTTATGGATATCAAAGTTATATTTTTTCTGCTGTGGTGCTCATAGGTTCTATTACGTCTATAAAGGAAGAGTTTCAGCTCAGGATTAGCATTTAGGAACAAGGTTTTGCACATGTAAATAGTACAAGAGAATGTGTGGAATGAATGTGTGTTGAGCATGTTTAGGGATTTAAACAGGGGCTGTATGTTACCTGAAGACAGAGTTTGTTATAGTTCTGAAAGAAGTTTTTTTCTGGGTGACAATGGGCTTGAGGTAATTTGCAGTCGTTGAACCTCATGCACAGACATCGTATGTAAGATAGGAATAGATTAGCGAGTATTACATGCTATTACATATGATATTACATATTAGCAGTCTCCGTGGCGTAGTGGTAAGAAGCTGCCTGGCGTTCCGCGAGCGCTTTGTCCTGGGTTCATATCCTGGCCGGGGAGGATTTACTGGGCGCAAATCCTTAACTGTAGCCTCTGTTTAACTGAACAGTAAAATGGGTACTTGGGTGTAAAAATGATTTTTCGCTGGGTCGTATTCCAGGGAACATAGGATTAAGGACTTGCCCGAAACACTACGCGTATTAGTGGCTGTACAAGAATGTAAGAACTCTTGTAAATATAAATAAAAAAATAGTATAGAGGAGAGCAGAGTTTAAAATGTAATATATGACTTTAGAGAATGTACCAACAATTGCTGAGACTTTTTTGGCTATGTGTTGTATGTGGGTGCTGAAGTTTAGTCTTATCTATGTATAGGCCAAGGAGCTTTCCCTCATTTTTTAAATAATGTCTTGTGCAGGCGATGAGTCACAATGACGTGGCTAAAGTATGATGACCAGACCACACTAGAAGGTGAAGGGACGACAACGTTTCGGTCCGTCCTGGACCATTCTCAAGTCGATTGAGACTTGAGAATTGTCTATCTGAATTCACCTTCAGATAGACAATAATGTCTTCATTGTCTATCTGAAGGTGAATTTGGTTGGATGATTTACTTCTAAATATAATGTAGAAGGTCTTCTCAATGTTTAGTGGGAGTTTGTTGGTTGACATCCATAAATGTACTTTTCTTAATTCGTTATTTACAATATTATTTAGTGTGTGTGTGTGAGCTGGGGTCTGAATAGATGAAGGTAGTATCGTCAGCAAATAGTATAGGTTTAAGAATGTTAGAAACATTTGCCAAATCGTTGATGTATATAAGAAATAAGAGAGATCCTAAGATGCTGCCCTGTGGCACTCCTACAGTTAGTGTTAGAGTCTGAGAGGAAATGTCATTGATGGCTACATACTGACGTCTGTCATTATGATATGATCGAATATAGTTCAGAGCAAGGCCTCAGAGTCCACTGTGGTGAAGATTAAGTAAGAGGTAGTTTTGGTTTACCGTACCAAAGGTGTTCCTCAGGTCAATGAAGAGGCTAATTGGGAACTCATTTTTGTCAAGGGATGTGTAGAGTATATCAAGCAGACTAATAATGGTATCATTGATACTATTTTGAGGAATGGAAGCCAAACTGGCAGGGACATAATATGTTGAATTTTACCAGGTAGGAGTAGAGCTGTTTGTAAATCATATTTTCAAATATTTTTGATAGTATCGGTAGATTTAATATTGGTCTGGACTGTAATTGTTTATGTCAGCTGTCTCGCTTCCTTTATGAACTGGCGTTATTCTTGTTTTTTTTTTAAGGATATCAGAAAAAGTATGACACTAGAGATATATTTAATAAAAGAGCTATGGGTGGTACAAGGGCATGAATGGCACGCTTATATACCGTAGATGGTATTTCACTAAGATTCCCAGCTTTGGTTTTAAATTAGTGAATTACGGATATAATGTCTTTCAGGCTGACTGGCAATTATATTTGTAGAGATTATATGTAGACATTTATATGTAGAGAAACTCCGCTTTATAAGACCGATGTACAGTGCTACTCAGGAGTGTTCATGTACGGCTAAAAGAATCTATTCGTCTATACAGAACATCAAGTCTTGTTGCTTCATATACCATGCGTCTTCATTCTCAATCCTGACTCAACATTTTTTAGGCTTTACTCTCTTGTCCGCAGATTCAGTCTCTTTTTCCATTTTATCATCATCCATTTGATTAACATACATTAACCATCTCGATACATTCTCCTCACCTTTGCTATATTTTGTCGCGTGGGCGGTCACCACGCAAGATATTTCTGTCGACAGCACAACACGTCTCAAAAACTTCTTCCTGGAGATCCTCTGCTATTCATCTCAAGAGTTTCAGTTATCTTTAAATGTGTTTAGACTGGTGGAGCTTCATTATATACAGGTCATCTAACTAAGGTCAGGTATGCACATACCTGTTCAATTAAATCGGTCCCAGTTCTTTCAAACGGCGAGGCATGACATTTCCTCATGCTTTTATCACAGTTCCACTTATTATTATGGTTTCAAGTCCAACACTTATCACAACCAGAACGTCAGTAGACAGACATAGAGGGTAAATCAAAACAACATGGGGGAGATTTCAAATTGCATAAAACTTTAATTAATGTCATGAAATGAAAATGAAAAATAATATAATATAAAGTCTCCACACAACAAAATCGTTTACCAGGCTATTTCATGATCCTGACTCTCCTCTGTCACTTCATTAGACTCAGTTAAAAGTATTAAGTAGTGAACAAAGATTGATTGATTGATAAAGATTAAGCCACCCAAGCGGTGACACGGGCATGAATAGCCCGTAATAGTGAACAAAAACTTTGGCTTTCTGATTAATCAACTGACTAATGAGTTTAACATTCATGACGAATTAATACTATAATATTCTTTAGATCAGATTATGTGCTAGTCTAGTTTCGTGTGAGGAACGTTTATTTATTTATTTACATATATACTAGAAGGTACATTGGGTTTATGAGAGTACATAGCATTGATCTTTTTACATTCTTACATTCTTGTAAAGCCATTAACACGCATAGCGGTTCGGGCAGCCGTTATCATAGAAAACGACAGTAAACTACATACATTATTCACACAGGCTCAATTTAAGACATGAATAGTCTACAATAATATCAATATGGAAATTTAAATTTATTTCACTGTGCCGGGGGACACGCAGCCAGAGTATATTTATACACGTTAGGCTTATATCGAGGTCCACCCCCCCCCCCTCAAGATCGAATTGCTGAGCCCCTCCCAAGGTCGAATTACTGAACCCCCTCCCAAGGACGAATTACAGAACCCCCTCCCAAGGTCGAATTATTGAACCCCCCTCCCAAGGTC